TCCCCTCCTGTCCCCTCCGTTCCTTCTTTCCCACTGCGAGCACCGTCTACCCCGGCGATCTCTCAAAACGAAAAATTCTATCCCGCACTTTAGTGCGTCCGTCGAGATCAAACCGTCGCGTGCTCCTCCGTGACGCCTTCCCGGAGTTAGACTCCCGATACCGAGCGACGGCACCGGGTCATGTCATACGGCTAGGGGCTAGGATCCGCGTGACGACAGTGCACCGCACATCGTACGCCGATCTGTTTACGAAACGCATGCTGCTCGCGCATCCGCGACGTTTCCTCCGCAATTCGAGAGTGGTTACTCCGCGACGATTGCCACTGCGAAACGCAGGGGAAAAGAGTGCCCCGCGATGAAGCTCGACGACGAGGTATTCTCCTTCAGCATGTTCGAGCAGCCCGACCTAAATTTCGGTACCTGTGAATATTTAGAGACCTGTGAGTACCTTCGTGCTTGTATAATAATAAGACGATTTCTTTGATCGTTAAAAACCTTATGGTTGACGCGTATGTTATAGGTGTGCTGCGCAAATCGAATTAATTATGATACAGTAACATGGAAAAGGGCGGAAAGGGAGATAAAAGTGAAATACTGTATTAAAAACAGACAAAAGACACAGAGAATTGTCGTAGCGTTATGAGTTAACTTACAGGAAGTAAGTGGGTATTATCTTTCATTCGGAAAATGGTTTATCTTTCGTCCAATCAGTTTTGTGTCAATCTGGTATCAATGTAGTAGTGGTAACTCAAACTCTATCAAATAAATTACGAATGTCTCGTTTTTTTTCTCGACTACCGTATCGCGTAATTTACGACGGTATTGACGATCGTAAATAAAACCCCGAAATCCAGTAATCCAAGATTGCTAAATTGAAAAACGAGAAATAAAGCTGAAAGCCGGATATCGCAATAGCGAAAAGCAGAAAATATCATAAGTGAATATTTTTTACATGGAATTTAACGCTTGCAATTCATTCTGTTTTCATAGATTACTTGCATTGACGTAGCATTGTTTTCGCACAGAGCTAAAACAATTCAAGAGAAGGAAAAACAGTCCGATACAGAAAAAATACGCGTCGTCTTGTTAGTCTAAACATGTTTATTCCTTTGGAATTCACGCAAATCTACTTTTCCGATCGTCGGCGGAAAAATAACGAAAGTAACATCGCAGTTCGACTGCTATCCGAGCTGTACTGCAGCAATTGCCGCGGTTTGGAAAACTTGTCAAAAATTCCGTTGAGAAGATGTATCTTAGTCATCTTATCTTATCTTATTTGCACGCGGCGCGAGATACCAAACTTTTTTCTCGCTAACTGTACACATAGACGAATTATCTAACGGCAGATGTAAACTATAATACTATTAATCCCATCATTAACCCTACGGATTTCTCCGTTAAATGCGATTACATTATCATTTGTACGATGTATATTATTAGACTTCTCTGGTCGAAGTTGTATTTTTAACGTATGTATATTATTGCGTCGTTGTTTTTTTAATCGTGCTGGAAAGTGTAACATATATTTATACACTGAGAAAAATTTCCATCGGATAAACCAGTTAAATAGTGTTTTCCATGGTTAATTTTTCCGATTACGTGTTCCTATTAAGTTATGGATACATCCGATAAAATTTATCCGATGAGACGCAGTTACCGATAAAATTTGATTGAAAAACCGTCTACATGTTTCATCGGATATATCCGTTTGTTATTATGTAATAGGATTATCTGTTTATGTTTAATTAAATTTTTCTCAGTGTACTCTCTAAAAGTCAATCAGTGGTTTATTACTGAAAACGGCGAATAGTCACTGATTTACGGTTATAGAGGAAAGTACTCTATTATGAGATAGGATTCTAATGTGAGATAGGTTTTTAATGCCCAAATTCAATCACAAATCTTTTTTTCGCAACGATTACACGATGCAATAATCAATTTTCTACTAAACAGATTTCACTCCAAGGGCAATGAATTCATGGTGGAACCAACAGACGACGCCTATTAATTTAGCAGAAACTCCGCTATCCCATATTAGGAGCCTGTCTCATAATAGGAGACTCTCCTCTAAATATACCACTGCGATCAGTGACTATTTGCTGTTTCCAGCGATAATTCACCGATCGAGTTTTAGAGAGATACGTTTCGAGAAATCCTTCCCCTTTTCCGATTGTCCACGCATCTCGGGCGTGAATGTAAAATCTGCCTTGTCAAACGGTAGGCTAGATGAAACCGATTTCAAATCGACGGGCGCTTATCTGAAAGATATGAAGTTGCGAAAAAAATGGCGCAGGTCACAGCTCGCCGATTATATCACCGCGAAATATTGCCGCGTTTACCGCGCGGTTATCTCGCAATTAATGCCGGAGAAATGAGCCGCGTACAACGCGCGTGATGCGATATGAAAAATCTAAAAATACGCAAGGCAGACATCCAAAGATACCGGCGGCTTTATTGCGCGTATTTCTGTTCTCTCTCGGTACCGGTCGGCCCGCTCGCGGAATTATCGCGGTCGTCGCTCGCCACCCCCGCAGACTTTTCGAACAATGCGACAGCGCCACCGGTGATACCGGGCGCACACAAGCGCGCGCGCTAATAAACATATCCCCCGTGCGTGCGGGCTAGGAGGAGGCGGCGAAGAAGACGGAGGCATGAATCACACTTTCATTAGCTGTCTCATTGTCCGTCGGTGCGGGAACAGGAGCTTTCTGTATTGTGCTTTATCGCAGGGAAACTGACTCACTTCGGTTCTCTCTCCCTCTCTTTCTCCTTCTTCTCGGTTCTCTTTGCGTATGTCCAAGCTTTGTTACACGCGTCCTCCGCGGTCTGTGTTTGCGCGAAAAGCGCGAGCAATCTCAGCAGTCTCTTTGTCACAGCCGTCTGGTAGCTGATAAGGACAGTCGGCCGTGCCGATGGAGGAAAAAAATAATGAACGGCTCTGCGACGCGCTATGCCGATTCCGCGGCCGAGAAAACGCCCGAAGGAGTCGAAATTGAGGGGGGGAACCATTGTTCCTCCGTAAACGACAGTTTTGCCGCGAGCATACATTTGTAACAATTTTTATTCCATTATTTTTATTTATAATATTTTGGAATAGACTCCGGAAAGAGCTGGCGATCATTGCTAAATTCTGGATTTGTTCCATGTTAACATTAATTTCGTCGCGAACCAATCCCAAGATGCTGTCCGCAGGTACATTAGTTTGGGGTCGTGGCCGATATAACGATTTGATCCCTGGCGTAAATCACATGTTAATATTATTGAAATATAATTATTATATTTCAATATGGCGATCGAACGAAAACCAAAATATTGTTGGTTTTCGTTCGATCGCCACATATTAAAATGGATATAGAGGTGTTATGACAGAGTTCCATTTTTCCTCATCTCTTGAATCTGTACGTAATTGTCTTGTGACAAGGTATACGTTGTGATTTACGCCAAGGATCAAATTAATGTTAACGTGGAACAAATCCAGAATTTAGCAATGATTCCAGCAAAGGAAGCCAAATCCCTAACGTATACCTTGTCACAAGAGAATTACATACAGATTTAAGAGATGAGGAAAAATGGAACTCTCACATAACACCTCTCTATATCCATTTCAACATGTGGCGAACGAAAACCAACAATATTTTGTTTGGTTTTGAACCCGAGTCTCCGGATTTGGTTTGGTTTTGAACCCGGGTCTCCGGATTACCAGACCAGCGCACAATCCTTTGCGCCACGATCGCCTACAGAGCGCGGCGCTCTTTCGAAAAATTTTCTTAATTGCTATCTTTCAACGTTTGCATTTTCTTGTGAGCCTTCTGTCGCTATTGCAAGTGATTGATATTAACGAATCGCTGTTAATTGACCGCCCGCACCGAGTAACGACTCGTAAGTCTAATCTACGATGTGATCTCTGCGTCTAGGAATATTCTATTACGTAGTCACTAAATACGTTTAAAAAATTTGTGCAAGGTGATAGATTGTACATTATACATTGTATAATCGCGCACCGTCGATCAATTTTTTAAGCGTTTCGATTGGTTTCTATAAAATAGAATGTTTCTAGATGCGGAAAGCACATTGCAGATTAGGCTTTAACGGTCTCTCTAAAAGTCAATCAGTGGCATTATCACTGAAAACAATTATAAGTATAGCACTGAATTATTCAATGCTATACTGCTATGATAACTGAATAATTCAGTGCTATATTTGTAACTGTGAATCAGTGAATACTCACCGTTTTCCGTGATAATCCACTGATTAACTTTCAGCGAGTTGGAGAACGCGCGGTGTCTATGACAGATCACGGTCTGTGAATGAGATAAATGTGTGTGCGCGCGAGGGGCAATATATTTTCGACAACGCAAATCCCACTTTTCGTATTTTTAGCCCGTTTCGACGGGCTTACGTAGGCACTCGCGCTAAAAAAAAAAAAGAAAGATGCAATTTGCACGTGTCTGAATCTCAGGCATCGGTCCCTAAGACGCGGTGACGTAATGTCATCCGAGCCACCTGGCTCCGCGGTGAATTGTCATAAATAAATAAGCAGCGCAACGAAGACACGCTTTTCCCGCTTGCGTCGTGGTGACAAGGACAGAGAACTTTGCGAATTTGCATTCGCGCGACGAATCGTTTTTCTCATTACGAGAGATCGAGATTCGCTGGATAAACGTGTCGGATAGACGATTGTCAGTACCGTATCGCTCCGATCGGTGTACATTATATTTTACGATTACTCAATTTATTTCATAGATATTTATGTCTCTGGACATTTAAATGCTCAGATCGCCGAAAGATACGAAGGCTGAAGCGTAATCGCCTGAAGATTTTCCCGAAAAAATCGACGAGCTGCGGCGCCGCGTGCTTCCTCGTTCGGAGGGGGGGAGGATCTATGAGCGTCCCTCAAATCCGGAAAGATTCGCGAGGCGCACGATCGCGCGGCTCCGGGTCTCCCACCATCGCGAAACCGCGCTACGGCAAAGCACGACGGCAAAACGTGCGTACGTTTACAGCTGTTTGCCAGTCGTCACCGGACCGCCGCCGTGGTGTCTGGCGAAGGTCATTAACGCCGTCGCGATTGTCGTGTCTCTCTCTCGCCGCCGCTCTCGGTTCCCGTTCGTCACCCCGTAATTTTTCAGCACCGCGTTCAAATCGTCCAGTTTCGAGATGGGGCAATGAAGGAAGACTCCTGTCATCTCGCGTGAGTACGCGCCCCGCGCGTAGAAAGACAGAGAAGACAGAGAGAAAGAGAGAGAGAGAGAGAGAGAGAGAGAGGGGGGAGAGAGAGAGGGAGAAAAGAAAGACAAGGAATGCTCGGTAACGGACGGAAACGGCGAAATTGATCGAGGATTGATCTCTCGATTGATTCGCGAACGGGTGGTCGGCAAGAAAGTAAACACGTCGACAGCGTCGCGCTAGTGATCGAGAGTGGCGATTCATCGAGATCTCGAAGGGGAGCCGCACGGAGACCAACCGGTTGAAAAAGAGAGTCCTCACGATGGGCCTGGCAGGTGCGCTCCTGTTCCTTTTTATTCCCCCCCGTTGCCATGCGTCACATTATCGTATCATTCCTGCGTTGTTACATCTATCTGCGAGTGGAGGATCGTAAGGGGATAAGTATCATTTTCCAATTGCGACAATGTTGGGATTCTACATCAACTCTGTTACGCGCCACTTTCGCTTTATTTCAATAACCGACCCTTCGTGAAACGTTCGTCGCGATTGTATCTTTTTATTTTCGTTTTGCTTTGTACTTTTCACCGAGACAGAAACGGAAAAGAAGATTCTCGTCGGTTGGTAAAACTTAAATTTGAGCAATTTATTGTCCGGACTGATGTTTTTTTTAACAGCCTTTTGTGATTCTCCGCTCTGGTGTTATTGCAGAGTCATCGAATCTTGTCTCGCGATTACGTAACGAGGTTTACTATTTTAACGAAGAAAACGAAATTCATAGGATCCGCAGGATGGGCTGAAAGCCATAGCTGAAATTTATTTAGACATGATAAGGAATGTTTTGTTGTATAACGAGTGGGCTATATGATGAATTGGTGAGTCAATTGTTAGAACTCGTCATAGATAAGACTGTCCATGTTATTCATATTACTCATATTATGCGAAAAGTCACCGCGGACACTTGTTGACTTGATGGACGCGCACCGCAGCTATTACTAACTCGCATTCTTTAATCCTAACAATCAACAATTTTAACGTTACTTAACTTTCGGGTTCGCGAAATGCAAATCAACAATCGCACTGTGCGAAATGAAAGTTGGAAAGTTAAGAACCTGCCTAAGAGAGCATACAAGAATCGGTCAGATTTTCAGCTTGAATGAGTTCAGCGTGAGAAGAGGACATAAAATATTTATACGTACTTAACAAATTTTCCTTTGTTATCAAAGCATGTCGCAGCGAATTCCTCCAGCGTTTAAAGACGCGGCTGGACCACTTTATCTGTCCGTGCTCGCCAATTCCGGTTGTTTATCAGTCGTTACGTAAAAAAACAAAAAATTTCTCGGCGATACGTAGCTCGAAAACTTTCCGGCGACGATTAGAAGCGGCAGCAGCGATCATCCTGAAGGAAGTTTTGCGCGCGTGACGGCCGCTGGCTTGCGTTCGATCTAATTGTGCCATGACCTAAACGTGACTTGCGTTTTCGCGTGACATTCCGCATCCGTGTGTGGCTGCGCACTGCGCGTTGAGGCCCGGTTGCATCGGCGGTCTCTGGATTAATTAAGCCTGGCCCGAGAGTGACTTGCCGTTCCATTTTAGAATGTATCGCCTGCGACATCGGCGGAGAAACAATAATTCAAATATCTTACTAGTCCGGACAGAAGAGAGGGGCTGCGCGTGACGTCGGTTTCGACGCGATTCGTAAATCGCGTATGTAACAAATAATAGAATGAATTAAAATATAGGCTTTCGAGAGTAGGCAATGTAGAAAGCCGGCGTTACGCAAGAAAAACTCTGAATTTACGTAAGCACTGTGCATCTCTTTTTAAATAGAAATTATTTCGAATTATGTCAAGGACACGTGTGGTTTTACAAATCTGTGCGACTAAGTTCAACCGTACGCTGGGAAAAATTTCCATCGGACAAATCAATTAACCGATGAAATTTATCCGACGAAATGCAGTTACCGATGAAACTTGATTGAAAAGCCGATCACATTTTTCATCGGATATGCAATTTAATCGGATATATCCGTTTGTTATTATGTAATTGGATTATCCGATTATATTTAATCGGACGTTTTTCTCAGTGGTGAATATTAATTTTTATTTAAAATTTCTTTTGCGCGCCATTCTTGCGCCGAGAAAAGCGAATTGTTACCTTACGTCCTCCTATTTTCCATAGTGAGTTTTGCTTCGGGCAACATTGCGATCATCTTTAGGCCGTACATCCGGAAATACCGTTCACTCCAGACGCGCTTTTTACGCGTTACGTCTCTTTTCCTAAGGCTGAAATGTACAACTATTTGATCTTAAACGCGGAAAGAAGGAGGCAGATCATAGAGCAAACAGATCTCAAGCCTCGGTTTGCTGGCAGCACTCCCTCGGGTAGAGAACGTCACAATTAAAAATCTCTGCGAGACGAGAGAGAAGGAGACGGAGAAAGAAAGAGAGGAGGCCCTTATCATTCCAGTTGACACGTCGCCGTGTTATCGTCAGCGGCGTCGCACTGCGAATATACCGTGCTACAGGCAGTGGCGTATTCGCGTTTTGATACCCCACCTCTTGTATTTCGATCTTTTATAATATCGACGTTAAAGTATTAAAAATTTCTCTGGAATAAACGAGCGCACTTTTGAAAAGGATTCAAAAGCGCTGAGAAAAGGCGAGGACTTAAAAACATTAATAATTAATTTTCCTTGGTTTACAAACGAAATTGTAAAATATTATCAAAGATTGGTACATTATTCGCTTTGTATATTAATTCTTTATGAACTGTCAGGCCTTTTGTCTTATTCTGTTTAATTCATGTCCTTCCTTTTTCTTTAAAGTCGCGAAGTCGCAAAATTAATCATTATTATTTACAAATTAAAACGACGCGGTTTTAGTAAAAAAATATTATGAATATGAGAATCTCTTCGAAAGCATTGAGTTTAAAAATTCAGCGTAAAAGGCCGAACGCATTTCAGAAGGTATCGAGTTTTAGTCCTAGGGTTTTATTGATTCGATGAAACGTTCTTGATCACGTGCCGCTGTCTGTATGCGCTCTGCATATTGCGAGTGGCGCCGGATCGTGACACGCGTGTGCATGCGTGCGATTGACGGCATCAACATAGCACTTACGTGATAGTAAAAATTACAAGAATGAGAGTAAGGAAAGGGGGTGCAAGCGTGATCGAGCTTAATTAACGCTCGAATGAAAATATCCGACACTTTGTAATTTATTATTGTTAGCCACGCGTAATGTTTTTACGTTAATTTTTAATATTCAGTAAAATGGTTTCCTATCGAAGTCTCGTTAAGCCTGTCTACAATTTGTCGAAAGATATCGCACAGAGTCTTATCGCGGGACCCTCATGTTTGATTTTCCTTGAGTATTTTTGGCGCCTATCAAGATCGGATAGTTACGAAAATACAAGTATGATACACTACGAATTTGTCCGATTACGCGATCGAAGATTACGAGAAATGGCGGGATGAGTTATTGTGGTTGAGGAAACGCGCGTCTTGATAGCCGCAAGTTATGTGGAAGGCTGGGAATCCTCAATAAGATGCGGTCGGACTTAAAGCCCGTATCAGACTACGGATTGAGATTGAGATTAGATTGAAATTTGACCAATTAGAGTAAAAGTCGCTAAACTCGAGATTAGTAAACTTTACTGTGATTGGTCGAATTTCAATCTAATCCCAATCTCAATCCGCAGTCTGATACGGGCGTAACGATGTTTATTCCGAGTTTGTATAGCAGTCCTTACGCCCATTTTAATGACCGGTCATTGTATGAATTATTAATAGGATTGGACAATGAAGTTTTGTTTTTACACAAAAGACTAAAATTAAAACGATGACGTGTTAACCCAATTTTCACGAGAGACGCGGATTCCGAATCATGTCCGCCGTTCGCTAATCACCTGTCGTCTGTACCTTCGAAATGATGTAAATCTAGCTGTTACACGACACAGCGTGTGACATTTGCGATTAAAAGATGTTTATGAAGCTTTTTCTTCGGATTTAGTATGCTTTATTAGCGCACGAATGACAGCTGAATAATTCGCAAAGCGTGTGTCGCTTCATTGATTTGCGTCGAAACTCACGTATTCAGAAATTGTAACGGCGACGAAGCCAGAGACAATAACAAGATGCGGAAGTACGATGGACGTTTCTGTTTCCTGTTTGGCGTTTCGAATTGAACGTTCGATTCAGTGCCAGTCAACAGGAAGGCGCGTTTTAAGGTTGGCCCCGGAGTAATTACGTCTCTTCTTTTCTTCCGTCGTGTCCTCCCTTACCGCTATTTGACTATGCTAATATTACGCTAACAGCCTAGGCAAACGAGGCAATTTATCTGTGCGCGCCGCTGAAAATCTACAAAAGTAGAAAAAGGAAAAAAAAAGGAAAGAAAAGACCACTTGGGCTCGCGGCGGCTTCGAGTCGCGCCGCGCCGCTTTAAGTGTTTTACTCCGCCGACCGGGCATGCATAAATAATTAATAGCCTGCAAATTGATTCGCAGTGTCACTATGACGGGCATGTAGCGCGCGCGGGCGCCATTCCACGCAGAAAGAACGAGGAGGAACGGCGCAACGCGCCAACTACCTTCTCCTTCTCCCATGCGTATTAAGCTGGAATCCATTAATTTTCTCGCGGTCGGGACCGAGAAACGTTACGTAACATAATAGGACACGCACGCGACGCGGCCACCGCGTGTCGCAATCGCGTCGTTGCATTAACTTAAGTAGATACCAATTGGACACCTGAAGGAGAGGCGTTCTCCACGTCGTCGTCGGAAGACGACGGGAGAAAAGAGAGACGAGCGGTTTCTTCTCGGAGAGATTACGATTCCGCGCGCAGGCGAAGTGGCAAGAGTCATAGGACGCTCTTATCGCGAACCTTTTAGCATAGTACAGCTAATAGGTCCACTCCGTCATTTGTTGTTTCGTTTTGCGTCGATCCCTTCTGCGCATCCGACATTGTTTTGGTCAGACCAACGAGAGAGAAGTTGTACGTGGGGTAGTGTAGCTTTGATGAGTACATACACACACGCGCCGCTTGATCCTGACCAAAACCATAGCGGAATACTACGTGATCGGGACTCAAAGGATTAGGGGGCAGAGAGTGGACCTACTAGTTGTACTATGCTTAGGCAGAAAACGATCCGCTTAAGACTGTCTTAGTCGTAGACGCAAGGCAAGGCAGAGAAAAACTTAAGTCGTGAAAGTCTCTTGTATACGACTTAAGTTTTTCTCTGCCTTGCCTTACGACTTAAGTCTTAGGCCCGGTTTCACCAAACGTCGCCTAACTTTAATCTTAGTTCAATTTATGTTTGTCTCTTTCTAAAGTAACAGTC